TTTTCCTAATATCTAATATCTAATCTAAATCTACCCTCTTTTAGTTTAAAGCCATTACCCTTCATCCTATCACTACATGCCTTTGTAAACAGTCCCTCACCATCTTTCCTGTAGGCCCCTTCAGGCACTGGAAGGCTGCAATGAGGTCTCCCCGGAGCCTTCTCTTCTCCAGGCTCAACAACCCCAACTCTCTCAGCCTGTCCTCATAGGACAGGTGCTCCAGCCCTCTGATCAGCTTCGTGGCCCTCCTCTGGACTCACTCCAACAGCTCCATGTCTGTCTTGCACTGCAGACCCCAGAGCTGGATGCAGTATTCCAGGTGGGGTCTCATCAGAGTGGAGTAGAGGGGCAGGATCACCTCCCTCGACCTGCTGGTCACGCTTCTTTTGATGCAGCCTGTCAAACCAGGATATGGTTGGCTTTGTGGGCTGTGAGTGTACATTCCCGAGTCATGTTGAGCTTTTCATCAACCAACACTTCCAAGTCCTTCTCCTCAGGGCTGCTTTCAATCCATTCCCCACCCAGCCTGTAGTTGGGCTTGGGATTGCGCTGACCCACGTGCAGGACCTTGCACTTGGCTTTGTTGAACTTCATGCGGTTCACATGGGCCCACCTCTCCAGCCTGTCAAGGTCCCTCTGGATGGCATCCCTTCCCTCCAGCGTGTCGACCTCACCACACAGCTTGGTGTCATCGGCGAACTTGCTGAGGGTGCACGCGACCCCGCTCTCCGTGTTGCGACAAAGATGTTAAACGGCTGGTCCCTGAGGAATGCCACTCATCACTGGTCTCCACTAGCTCAATTATAAACAGCTAGATGTAAGAACTTACTCTGTACAACATTTTGTAACCTTAAGTAAAAGCTTTGTGCATGTCTGCAAGATACAAAATACAGACTGGAATGGTATTAATGTTGTTTCAGCACAAGCGTGGGAAAGGTGCATCACTCATGGATGTCAAAACTACAAGTGAATTATGTGGGCTGGTCCCAAAGAGTGCCAAAAAGAGCATGTACACCTCACTACATCATGTCCTGGGAATACGCCACTCTCAGTACAGGAAAAATGTTATTTTAGGAAAGTTTTAGACAGGTTCAAGAATATATCATTTTTTATATCCTTGTAAAAATAACAGTTTTCTTAGTGTCTTTGTTACTATGAGGCCAGTGCTTCTAAATTGAAGAAAAGTCCTTAAAAAGTCTAATAGGATAGCATGGGAGTTTGAGGGGATTTATAAATATCCAGATTTTATGACGTGTTGTCTTAGACCCTTTTAGGAAGAGGGCCGTTTGGGGGCCATATCTGTGTCCTGCCCCAGTGAACGAATTTGGTGTCCCACTGTGTGCCTCGCAGCAGGGGCTGCATGCCACAGGCGTGCTCGGGGAGAGCCCTGTGCAATGGGAGCACCCAAAATAGGGGGGTGAGGGGGTAGCCCCCTGCCACCCTGTGCGCCAAGGGCCACAACCAAGCATGCTGAAACCTCGATTCGTTTTGGTCCTTAGCACAGAAAGCATCAGGCCCCATGCACCCCGTTCCTCAGGGACCGGCATACCTCGGACCCTAGGCTATTCAAGAGCAAAGGAGGATGACTTCATTCTCTCCTGTTGAAGCTGTTGGGCCCAGATGGCATAATTAAACATTGACAGGGCCTGGCAGAGCAAACAGAGACAACTTGGGCTTGGTGATTTAACATTATGACTTGGGAGAGCAAAGAGTTGGACTCCAGTCCCTGCAATGGTTATTTAATACTGTGACAGCTGATGGAGGAACCCAACGCTGCTCTTCCCAGCGAGTGCCCGAGCCCCTGTCCAGTTGTGCGCTGCTGTGCATACTTGCTTCATTAATCTTTAATCACTGACAATTAAAATGGAGAAACTTTAGCAGGAGGAAATGAGAGTCCCGGAAACAGCTTATAACTTGCCAGCTAAGAAAGGTTTCTGGAAGCTGTGGGTTTGGGTCCCCCAAGAGCCAGAGGGAGCTGAGTCAGGGGGGTGGGTGATGCTGAATGGAGGAACCAGCACTCCAAGTAGGAAAGAAGGTGCCCAAGCTCAGTTCAGAGCTTTGAAGGAAACGCCTATTCATTGCTTCATCTTTAGAAGGAAGCAGTGACACATTTAGCTCCAGGGCAGGGCTGCCAACCCTGAAAACCCCTCGCTGCAGCCCAAGGGAAGGGTACCCAGCCCAGGGACAGCCTGGGTGGCACCATCCCCAGGGCACAGACAGCTCCCTGCTGACATACCCTTTCTTGGGCACCCCACGCTCTGCAGGCACTCAGGATCTGGATCACATTAGCATGGCAAGGTGCCTTCTGCCCTTTCTGGGCTTGGCCATTGCTCCTATCTTTTCAAGGGTATCAGCTAATTCACCAAGTACTCTGTTTCCATGGACTTATGATAACAGTTTGTGAAAAGCAAACTAACAAACAGACAATTAGGTTGCTAGGAAGCATTGGACCAAAAAAAAGGGGCCTCGTGCTAATAATAAACTGGAGAGAAATATGCTTTTATTTGGTCAGCAACAAGCCCCAGCAAAGGAAGATTCTGAAGTGCAGCTAGCCTAGGACAGAGAGGGGCCAGAGCAACATCCTAACCTCCCATCAGCCTCAGGCTTTGCAAACTCCAGTTAGTCTCTCTGAAACTCCTCAGGATAATATAGAGGGAAGGAGTTGAAACAGCAGGCCTGTGTAACTCGTGATTTCATGTTTCCTCCAAATGACTAATTTTCCACTAAAACTACAAGAAGAGAGCTCACATAGAGATGTTTTCTTTCAATGTATGGTGAACAACTATCACTATATTAAACTGCAAGATACAGACCATTGTCAGAAAACAAATCAGAATAATTCTGTAGAGGAACACTTGGGCTACTTTAGCACACTTACTTGGAAAGAGGTACTAGAGGCTCAAAGTGGGGAGGTCCTAGCTAAGAAGAGGGAACCATACTGGCAAGTTGTTTCTACTGGTGGACATCTACTGTAGGTGCCTCCCTTGTCTCAAAGCACAATGCTGTTTAGGATAAATCAAAAGCTAGGAGACAATCACAAGGAGGAGATTTCAAACTTGTACTTAAATGCCAGAGGAAAGTTTTTAGCTGTTTTGGTAGAAGGAACATGGTGTTTGGCACAGGAAAGCCATCTCTCAAGTCTTTTTTGTTTTGTTTTGTTGGTGCTCTGATGAGAGAGAGTATTGAGGCATGAGAAGACCACATATTGCAACAGCTTGTAACACAATGGAACTTATTTGCGTAAGTCCGGAAGACTGCAATTATTCAGAAAAGCTCATTAAAGTCAAGACACAGAATTTAGAAAATACATACATTTACTTGTATTGTTTTTTCATTGCTTAAATTGTCCTATAGAAAACTCCAAGCTAACTATCTATAC